ACAACGTCCTTTTTCTATTATTTCTTTATGCATTTGTCATTAATTTATGCGTTTGGAACGATTGGAAATAAAAGATCTTCTTTAGTACCAGTCACCATGATTTGCAACAGAAATTAAAAACTAGAGACACATCAAAATAATATTCTTTAGCCCCAAAAAAGAAACATTCATATATAAAAAAGCCAAAACAAAAGAATCATAAACAATTTCAAACAAATATTACAACATATTCTACAAACCGCAAACAGTGATTTGTTTCATTTTAACATGTTCGCAAATCGCAGAATAGAAAATGATATAAATCATATAACTGATTTGTAGTTTATATGTTGTTAAACATAAAGCTACACCGTGGGCATCGAAACCCCTTTTTTTGCGTAATAAGCCCTCAGACTTACAGCTGAACCACTGAGAAGCAATTTGTAATTTCACAAAACATTCACTATTTTCAATAAAGCCCACCTTTGATGAGTTATACTAAGAAGTCAAAAAGTGGAAGATGTGTGTGCGTGTGTTTTCATATAGCAAGGCCACATCGGGCTATCTGCTGTGTCCACCGAGGGGAATCTAACCCCTGATTTCAGCGTTGTAAATCCGAAAACTTATCGCTGTCCCACCTGGGGACAAAAGTGGAAGAATATAAAAGAAAACCTGCTACAAGTTATAATCTAACAAACAGGGATTAGAGGTTTCTTCTCCAAAGATTTACTGATGTGAAAAAAAAAGTTAAAAATCGATAAACAAATACTACAAATTACGGAGGTAACAAGAAACATTTGATATATTTCTAAAAATGTTCAGAAATTTAAATTTAGATTTCGAGTAACGCAGGATATGCATTACAACTAAATAAATATAATATTTTTATAAACGTCTTAGCCTGTTTGAATATAATACGGCTTGCTGATGCACTTTATAGAGAGGTATGAAAATACTCGAACGAGTTAGTGCCTATACATAGTTTCGAGTTACCTAGGTTCATATTTATTGTTAGGATTTCTAATTACCTTGCCTTGTTCCGATATTACGTAACAGACAATTTCAGTCGCACCATACAGAGTAGAAGCACTGTAATGTTAAATAGAGATCAGTTAATTATATCTATAAAATTCGTAGAATTATGAATGTAAATATGGTGTATATGTGTGTGTGTGTGTGTGTCTATTTAGTTATACTGGAGAGTGAATTAGATTGAGTTTAATATAGATTTCTTGTTTGAGTTGACACTAAGTTATAGAGAAGACGTCTTTGAAGAGGCCCAAAAATAAAAGAGTCTGTACCGTTTGTTTGAATTGTTACTTTATTATATAATATACGTCTCTGAAGAATGCCCAAAAATAAAAGAGTCTGTACCGTTTGTTTGAATTGTTACTTTATTATATAATATACGTCTCTGAAGAATGTCCAAAAATAAAAGAGTCTGTACCGTCTGAGTCGTCACTACGTTATGCGGTGCACTGTAGTCATCTCTGGACAAGTCGAAAAGGCAAAGTGTTTGTTTGTTGTTAAGCACAAAGCTACACAATGGGCTACTTGTGCTGTACCCACCACAGGTATCTAAACCCGGTTTGTAACGTTTCAAGCCTTCGGATTTACCGCTGAGCCACTTGTGGGGCAAGGCCAAATGTGAGGAATAAAACTGTAATTTATCTGGAGTTTATATTCTTCTTCTTTTGAAATGGGTGAGCCTAAAAGTTGATTGTCTCTCTCGAGTGAACCACTTGCTCTCCATACCTCACACCAATGGATGTTTCAATTGAGGGTATTATTAGATAATGATTGTGTGGACAAACGCCACGGAATCCGGACGATCTGAAAACGCTCATTCAGAAGGGAATTTCTTAGGCTGGACACAGACCTCTGACCCGAAACGTGTCATTTCAGACCTATTGATGTCAAAAGCGTAATGCTGTTTCGGGAGAGGGATTTTAAGACCTGGTTTGAAATGACAACTCATAATATGATTTCAAAGCGATAAACGTGTCTATAAGGAGGTATCATACAGATAAATCAGTATCATTATTGAGATAACCGACTTTTGGACCTCTCTTTATATAAATGGCTTTTGAGTGTCAAGCTTGCACTTAAGGTTTCATCAAACTTCATCATTTGATGTGTATTTATTCTGACACTCTGGGCTGAAACACCATTCCGAGACTCACTGGTACTGAAAAGCAATAATCAAAGCACACGTTGATTCGTGTACCCTTGACAACAGGACTATGAATGATATTGTCGAGAAACATGTTATTGGTTGGTGTTTGAAGCTGACAAAATGTTTATTCAATGTATCCTTTTTCTAGTTTTCACATATTTTCAATGGAAACAAAATGTGAAGTTATAAAAGCCTAATAAGCAACAAGGTAGACATATACGGTCTAATAGTTACATTGTGTGGTTCAGCCCATGTAATGGGCTTCAAAACACGTTTGTTATAGAAATATATCTTCATGTTTGTGGAAAATCACTCGACAGGGGGCGTGCTCCTGTCCTTGTATTGTGGAGTACGTCTACCCATCACCTTTTTTTCTCCAGCTTAGGAATGTATAATACAAACCGAGCGGGAATTCTCTGTTTCCCATAACATCTGTATAAAATATCGGGAAGTACAAAGTTTCTATAAACATCACTAGACGCTCATTAATTTTCAGCACCAGAGCGAACAATACAACAAACATACCTACACCTGTTAAAACTTATTATTGCGACAAAGCTTCATGAATATGTTCATGCCCTTCAGTGCATACAAAACAGAGACTAACATTCTTTGAAAATCCCAGTGCATTCAAACGAAGATGATTAACATGAACTATTGTTTAACCTGAAAATGTTAAATAATTAATGAGTGATATCTAGACATGGTGAATAATACCAGGCCTATCACAGTAATATAAGGATTTGTGCTAAAGCTTTCACGATCACATTAACAGTTTTACAAGAGTTAGCTCTGTATCTTCATATCAGAATGATTACAGGGCTTAAACAATTGTGCGATAATTATTACACTGCTATAAACAGTTGTGCCAAAGATTTCATGATTACATAAACAGTTTCCCAAGAGCTAGCTCTGTATTTATTTACCAGAGTTATGACAGTCGTATAAACAGTTGTTTTATAATTATTACATGTCAATATCAAACACTTGTTAAAATATCAAATAAGAGACATTGGAAAGTTTTGTTTTCTTAAGAAATAATATATCGTTTTTATTTTTGTTTATAGTGATTAAAACTCTACGTGCGTATTGAATCAGCTAGCAATTAACAGGATGTGTTTATCTTTGTTTAAAGTGATTAAAAATCTACGTGCGTAGTGAATCAATTAGCAATTAACAATTTGTGTTTATGTTTAGCAATTTGTGTTTATTTTTGTTTAATGCGATTAAGAACCTACGTACGTAGTGACTCAGCTAGCAATTAACAGGATGTGTTTATCTTTGATTAAAGTGATTAAAAATCTACGTGCGTAGTGAATCAATTAGCAATTAACAATCTGTGTTTATTTTTAGCAATTTGTGTTTATTTTTGTTTAATGCGATTAAGAACCTACGTACGCAGTGAATCAGCTAGCAATTAACATCATATGTTTATCTTTGATTAAAGTGATTAAAAATCTACGTGCGTAGTGAATCAATTAGCAATTAACAATCTGTGTTTATCTTTAGAAATTTGTGTTTATTTTTGTTTAATGCGATTAAGAACCTACGTACGTAGTGAATCAGCTAGCAATTAATATTCAGTGTTTATCTTTGTTTGAAGTGGTTAAGGTTTAACATACATAGTGAATAAGCTAGCAATTAGCATTCTGTGTTGAAAATGAAAATTCTGTTTAGAGAAATATTGAATATCTGACCTTTTGAGGCGTCATACCTCCGCATGCCAGACGATGGTGTACGTGTCTGTGATTCATATATCTTGTTTCATTATTCATAGACTTAATATATACAAATGTACTGTACACTACGCAGTGGTGTGTCTGTAAAACGTGAAATTCGAAACATCAAAGCCATGTTTTCTAACATTAAATCTAGAAAAGTTCTAAAACCATTAGTGTTAATTGTGTTTACACCGTGTATGTATTACATACAGCTTTGTATTTGCTGGAGACGATACCTTAATTCCTACAGATTAAGATTTAGTTTTGTTCACTTTTTAATCCATGGATAAGCTCACATTTAAGTTTAATTTCGGCATAAGTTCTCTACTTGTCAGCAAATGAATTATTAATATCAATTATAAATAACTATTGTGTGATCAGATGAAGTGTTGATGTTTGAAGCTTGAGGCCTACATTTTGATAGTGCGAGATAAGAGCTGAAGTGTTGATCTTTTAAGGTCGAAGTGCACATGTTGATAGTGTGAAATCAGAGCTAAGGTGCTGAAATTTTAAAGTTGAGGCTCACGTGTTGATAGTGGGAAATAAGACATGAGTTGTTGAAATTTTAAAGTTGAGGCTCACAAGTTGTTAGTTAAGATCAGAGCTGAAGTGTTGAAATTTTAAAGTTGAGATTTACATCTTAATGGTATAAGATCAGCAAAAAAAAATGCATTTATGAAGTCGTCAATAAAAACAATTTATGAGTAAATTCTTATGTGTCAGTTTTTTATCATATCAACACACTTTCATCCGAGGGGTTAATAACGTTTCCATTGAACAGTGTTGTGATTCATGTCAGCTCTACCTTACATTATCAAAATTTAAGCCCTGGCCTGACAAGATTAACATGTAAACTCCAAAGAACTTGTAAACACGATCATTAAGGAAACTTTGTATGACCTTACATAATCAACTCTTGAACCTACCAACCACCTTTAATGATCAGCTTGTGAGCTATGATCTAACACTATCAAGTCGTGAACCTCAACCTTACAAGATCAATACTTCAGCTTTAATTTCATACCGTCAACATCTGAGCCTCAACCTTAATATTTCAACACTTCAGATCTGCTCTCACACTATCAACATGTGAGCGTCAGCCTGAAAATTTCGACGCTTCAACGTTTTTTTACAATTATAAGCCTGATTTTTTCTCTTTATAACTGTTCACATCAACAACAAAAACTTGTCCCTGAAGATAACCGTTTCAGTTTAACGAAAGGTCCTCTTATGATTGATTTTATACAGATATTAGAGCACATAATAATTTGTCATTTTCAGATCGCAAGTGTGTTGAGATATTCAACTCAGCCAACATGTCAACAATGAGACATTTTTTACTAAAACATAGCTTGAAAACTGTTAACAGGAACAAGGCTATTCATAGATACAAATCGCTGGACAGAAATAAAGTTATTGGGTTGTGCATAAAATCTCGAGAAAACTTGAATGTATTACAAGTGAATTCTCAGGTGTTTTGAATTGCAGATAAAGTTAAACAGTACTTTACGCAATTATATATATTGCCCATGATGTCATCTAGGGATGTACTGGTTCGTGTATAAGCTTTGCAAAGACTCCAAGTCATACTAAACAGTTGCATGGTTTCAGACTAGATCTACTTAAAGTCTCAGAATTCAAGGCACTAAAATGTTATACCACATATTGGTTCTAGTCTCTACCTTTAGTGCAAGCGCTTGATTGAACCTGAAGAGCAATCCTAAAAGCGCTAAGATAAATTTGAGTTTGCATTCTGATGTTATAAAAGCTATATTTTAGTTGATTACTTGAGTGACAATATAATAAATTACATTTTACAGAAGAGATCCGGTTACAACACAGCTACTTCAGCCTATACAGAAACCTTAGTAAGATTTTGTAAGGCTGGTTCAACCGTAAACACAACATAGCTATGGTTGCATTAATGATGTCATTAAGGCTTTCGGTTGTTACCAAGGTCAATAAATGGCGTTGAGTTGCCTAGCAACACCTCCGGTATAGTTGGTACCACTGTGGTTATACCTGGAGTTAGTTCAGCCCAATTAGGAAAAGTGTGCAAGTTGAAGAGAGTTACACCGAGCGTGTTGATCATCATCAAGTCAACTCCACACATGATGATGTTGAGGAAGATGCCGGGCTTAACCTGAAGTGACAGACATGTTAATTCAATGAAAGGTTAGAGTAACTGATATAAACGGAAGAAGATTATTTTTTAAATATGTAAACGTAAATAACGTCTTATCTATACAGAGAAATCACGCATATCTGATAAGGAACACGAGATTAAGTCTGAAAAGTAATTTCTTCAGTATTGATAACAAAACTAAAACATACTAAACATATTATGTCACAAAATAAAGATCAAATCATAAGAATGCAAATAAAAGATAGCAGTCAAATATATAAATAACAAGTAAATATTTCAGAAGTTGCACATTAAATTCTTAGTAAATACAAATGTTTTCGTCAGAAGACAACAAAACAAAGCAATAATTAACAACTCGTGTTAAAAGTTTGATGAGAATGCTACATAAAATGATTTGAAAAGCTACGTACCATATCTATTGTTTTCATACCAGCACTGTCGAACACGATAGCATTTGGAGGATTTGCCACCGGCAACATGAAAGCAAACGAACAAGCGATGGTGACGGGAATCATGAGGAACAGCGGGTTTACTCGGATCTCTGAAGCCTAGAATAAGAGAAAAGTTACAGCAAGTTTGAGAAAGTCAACTATCAAGAAATTAGAGTCTTCATCAGTATATTCTTCAACACAAACAACCTAGGATTGTCCATAACATGTTTGAATTCACAATGAACCAATCATAACGGTGTTTTTATTCAATAAATTTTCCATTCGCTATATTTATTCGTTTTTTTATGTCATGGGATGATAATAATGTAGCCAAACATCTTATGATTTAGACCAGACTCGAATTCGTCGTCAGGTGGCGGGTGTGGTGCATTGAATTGGAGCTAATATTTAAATAAGACGGGAACTATGAAGAAAGTTTGAGAGTTAAAAAAGAAGGAAAATTACATGAGAAACAAATAATCTCAAGGGATGATAGTTTCTTTGCAATTATAAACCTGTGATTTGGGCTGGGCCGATGTTTTGAATTCGCGCAAAGCTACACGAGGGCTATCTGCGCTAGCCGTCCCTAATTTAGCAGTGTAAGACTAGAGGGAAGTCATCACCACCCACCGCCAACTCTTGGTCCAACGAATAGTTGGATTGACCGTCACATTATAACGCCCCCACGGCTGAAAGGGCGAGCATGTTTGGTGTGACAGGGATTCGAACCCGCGACCCTCAGATCGTGAGTCGAGCGCCTTATACACCTGGCCATGACTTAGATAAGACAATGTTAGTAATATAGATAATACATTACAGACAAGACTGTCAAACTTTGTAACAAACCGTTGGTAAAACCTTTATATATGGATACGTATCGTATCGACTACTGTGATGAGATACGCATTCCTAAGTAACACCTAATTTAATGTTATAGCTATTGTAATTAGAATAAGATTGACACATTTTTATAATTCATTGTACTAGTAAGATATTCTCGAATATACTTATAAAAATAATTTTAATATTACTTATCTCATATTACCTATCTCAAACCTAACTTTTCAATATTACTTATCTCATATTACCTATCTCAAACCTAACTTTTCAATATTACTTATCTCATATTACCTATCTCAAACCTAACTTTTCAATATTACTTATCTCATATTACCTATCTCAAACCTAACTTTTCAATATTACTTATCTCATATTACCTATCTCAAACCTAACTTTTCAATATTACTTATTTCATTTTACATATCTCAGATTTAATTGTACAGTAACATTTTTAAAATAATATCTAGACCTGGCATGGCCTGCTAGTTAGGGCGCTCGATTTGCAATTTGAGGGTCGCGAGTTCAAATCCCTGTCACACCAATCATGCTCGCCCTTTCAGACGTGGGAACATTATAAAGTGACGATCAATCCCATTATTTGTTGGTAAAAGAGTAACCCGAGAGCTGCCTTCCCTCTAGTGTATAACTATTAAATTAGGACCGGCGATCGCCAAGAAGTGAACCAGAACAACAGAAAAGCGGTTTAACCCTGCAATGCCGCAGGTAAAGAATAGAGCCAGAACAACAGAAAGGCAGAGTTTAAACTTACAATGCAGCAGGTAAATTAAAGAACCAGAACAATAGAAAGCCAGAGTTTAAACATGCGATGCCGCAGGTCAAAAAGATAACCAGAACAGTAGAAAGGCAGAGTTTAAATATCTGGGTGGTATTAGACGAATGATGAGCGTAAATTGATACGACCTCGTATGTAAGCCCCTTTATTTGCAGCTTACAAATATAAAATATAAAAATGTTTATTGTCCCACGTATTTATATAACGAACTGAGTAAATATAGTCTATCTTTCATATTATTTTATTAAACAATAATGACCGAATTAACAATAGTCCTGTATGATAAAATGAGCTTGCACAATGCTGTTTCTTCAAGAGTAGCTGATAATTAGTGGAATGGTTGGTGGTTCTGTAAAACATTTCTACCAAAAATGTAGTTTTCGAGAATAGTTTTTCATTTCAAGTTGCCCCCCCCCCCAGTGGTACAGCGGTATGTCTGCGGACTTACAATGCTAGAAACCGATACTCGTGGTGGGCAGAGCACAGATAGCCCATTGTGTAGCTTTGTGCATAAATTAAACAAACAAACAAACATTTTAAGTTTGAAAGAGTCAACATTCTGGGTTACAAATTTGGAAGAAATTCTTGATCATGGTTGTTTATTTTTATGTTCACTGGTAAAATCAAAATTAGCCTGGTGGTTAGGGCACTCGACCCCGAACATGTTCGTTCATTCAGCCGTGAGAGTGTTATAAGGTGAAAATTAATTACACTATTCGTTGGCAAAAAGTAGCCCAAGAGTTGGCGGTGGGTGGCGATGATAGCTGCCTTCCCTCTAGTTTTTCACTGGTAAATTATGGACGGCTATCGCAGGTAGCCTTCGTGTAGCTTTGCGCGAAATTTAAAACAAACAAATAAAACAATAATGAACCTTTCATTATTATGAACTACTCTATCTTGTTAACACGTGATACATCCTAGAAAATAAGGCGTGCAGATATATACAACTATAGCTTAGCCTTTAACACGTAATACATCCTACAACATAAGGCGTGCGCCCCCCAGTGGCACAGTGGTATGTCTGCGGACTTACAACACCAGAATTCTGGTTTCGATACCCGTGGTGGGCAGAGCACAGATAGCCCATTGTGTAGCTTTGTGCTTGATTACAAACAAACAAACATAAGGCGTGCATAAATATACAACTATAGCTTAGCACGTTAACACGTAACATATCCTACAACATAAAGCGTGTAGATATATAGATGTATAGCTTAGCTCATTAACACGTAACATACACTACAAAAGAAGTCTAAGATGTTGCTATACACCTGAACCTAGCAACTAGCAACAAACTGATAAATTTATGTCTTAATTTTGTCAAAGCAAAAATGTAAGAAACTAAAATCTACGAGATGATGAAGATGTGTTACTTAAATGTCACATAATTATGTTTATTTACGGCAATGTTGAAATAAACATATTAAACTTATATTTACCAGTTGTCCCACAACAGGAAGTATGACTGTAGAAGTGGACATATTACTGACTACCTCAGTTATAGACGCAGTCATTAGACATAATACGATAATGATGACCTCTGGCGACAAAAAACTAAGATGAACGAGCTGATGACCAACCCAATCTGAAAGCCCGGATTTCTGATGAATAAATAACACATTGGAAATGTGGTGTGAGATGGAATCTTTGAATATTTTTTCTTGTAATAGTAAACAAATAAAACCTAGACTTAGTTAAAATATATTATTAAACTTTCTAAAAATATTTCCCAAATTTCACACATTTTTGGCAATATCACTCATGAAAACTTGAACATTGGTTTCTGTCGCACAGGATAATATTATTTAATATTAAGCTATATAAATAAACAAAATACAGACACTGTTACGAAAGGCAAAAAGTTTATGTAATCAACAATCATAGCCTTTTCAAACAATTTTAACCCATTGCATGTATATTTAGTTTTATCCGCTACCACAAATATGCGTCATTCTACCGTTATTTAACAGAGCATGTAGAATTTTGAAACATCTGTAAAGAAAAAGAAATGTAACTTAGCATATAACATATCAGTTCAATGTACACAATCTACTACGAAATAAAACTGGTACCTTAGCACCTTCTGAAAGAGCGAAACCGCCACCCAATAGCAGCAAAATGCCCCAAGCAATTTTGTTTTGGGCCACACGCCAATCTAGTAGTGGAGGACAGCGACCTATACGCCGCGGGTCGGAAGGAATAAGAAACAGAAGAAAAGATATGCCGATCGCTGGCGTAGCATCCCTGATTTTCCTGTAAAAAATATTTGCCATCCATTTTTAACTTGAAGCTTATGAAAGAAACAAAAAATAAGGTTTAGCACACGTCATTTCCTAAATAATAGCCAGCTATAATTATAATATAAATAAGCACACAAAGTAAAGATCTCTAAAGTAGAGGGTCCTAAGTTTAAGAGTGTATACATAGTACGAAACTTTCTTCTTACATATAAATAGCATTTATTTGAGATTAAATTTTAAGATTTGTATTTTTCTTTTAAAAATGTCTTTATGATCGTTCATACACGCCTGTATTCAAAGCGTCTGCCCAGCCAGGGATGAACTGAGGATCTCTGAAGAGCCATAGAAGAACCAAGATAATGAACAACACCAGGACTCCACCTTCGTGAAACCTACAGGAAATAGAGGAATAAGCTTTAATGTTAATATTCCAGCGAGTACTGTTAGATTTGTATGTTGTTAAAATGGGGTGGGGGAATCCAACAGTTTTAATACATTCTATGACCGTTCTTGCGCACAGATTTCATAAAATAAGTAAGAACTTCAACTTGCACAATAATTTATTGTATAAAATTAAAAGTAAAATATACCATTAACAACTCTACGTGTTTCGGTAGAAAAAAATTCCATCATCTTCAGAAGACTGGAAGAAACACAAGAAATTTCATTTTTTTACAAGCAAGCGCCTCCAAGTGGCACAGCGGTATATC